CGATGGTGTATGAAAATTCTTTTTGCATTTACGTCACTCGTTTTAAAATGAAGGTGAATTTATTTAAACAGAATGCTATGAAAGACGAACGTCACATCAAAATCAAGATGTTTTGAATATTTCATAGCGTTTTATTTACCAATACGCGGAAATGTGCTCGTAAAATATTCGAACTTTTTCTCTTGCACGACTTCGAAAGTCATTCTATGGCAGATGATTGAATTCGCCTTGATTTATGATTTTACATAATGTAGCATTCTATTTAAAGAATTTAAGAATTTAATTTTTCACTCTCGTTTCTAAGAAAACGTGGATACAAAAAATTTCATACATTTCATTATATTGCTTACGAAATATAGTAATAAACACTTTTTCGTCTTTCATCTTTTCCTCATACTATTTACGAGAAAAATACTGCTGATTATTGGATATTATAAATATCTTACATTGAATTTTTCTTTTTACTTCGTTAATATTAATTTCGTGTTTGCTCGAGCAATATTTCATCGTGCAATTTTTGTTTCACTTTTATAATCTTTGCTTGTATTATAATATTTATTTCGAAAACAATTCGCGACATTCGTGGAAACTTTCAATAAACGTATTGTCGTATAGACAATAAAAAGATAAAAATTTGCTCGTATTATTTATCGAATCGTTATTCGTAATTATATTTATTGATGAGCGTCCATTGTCGATCTAGGCAAAATTCTAAAAATTCAAATTGCGTAGAGAACACGGCCATCGTTCTCGAACGTACTCTATTCGTTTTTCTAAGAAATTTCAAAGATCAAATAGCGTAAAGTTAACGACGAGCAACGGGCACAGTTTAGTAACAATTATTGCCGATATTTGCCGAAGATAAGCACTCCCACACAGTTTCTAGATACGATCGATCAAGAATCTGATAACCTACTAAATTCAAGATTTTCTGTCCAGGTGCACAATGCATTTGTGCATTTATGAGAAATTGGAAATCGCAAGAACACAATAATACATAAAATAAAAATATCTAACATAGAGTATTGCAATATCTTAGTAAATGAAACTCAATTCAAGTTCTAGTTTGTAAAAATTTTAAAAACTCGCAGTCCAATAAAAATTAAACGACCTTTATTTTACTCGAAGAAATTTCCCGCTGAATTTTTTTTTTTTGAGTAAATTTCTAGTGAAACGACTTCTCCCAATTTTTGCTTTTTAATGTTCTGTGTGTTTTTTTTTTTTTTTTAATAAAACACAAATAAGAAGAGACGGTAGATCTCATATTCCTCAGTACGGGAGAACAACAATGGAATTCATTGCATTCCAAAATTGGTCAAAAATTTTCAACTAGAAGTTTACCAAATTTTGATTCACGCAATTGTCAATCGTTATTCTTGCGAAAAACAAATTCCGTGCGATTGGTCTCGCCAGAAGAACGACAGGAATCGTACGAAGATGCGAGTTCTTGGAAAAAGCGAGATTATACGGTAAACACGAGTGGAAGTGGCAAGAATTGGATGTCAAAGGTCGTTATCCTCGTACACCGTAACCTCGTTTCGCAAATTCGGCGTATTCGGTTTTTCCACTCGTCCAAGCGACGAGTCATCTCCTTCAAGATTGTGGCGACAGAAAGAAACACGATGAAAAAGAGGTGCGTCCGTGTCGGATATGAAACGACTAACTGTACACACTGGCAGTGAGTGTGAGTGGAAAGAGATTACAGAACACTTCGATAAAAGAGTAATAACACGTATCGATCGTTCTCTGTGAAATAATGAATTTTTTATCGCAGGCTTTATCCAATGAAACGCAAAATACAATGAAACGCGCTCCAATCGTTTAAAATAACAATATCGCGTGCAGAGATTTAGGGAAAACGCAAGAGTGATCAATGTGACGCTTGCATCATTCCGGTGTGTTATTCACTATGGCGATATCAGCGTCGATGATCAATGAAACGTCTCCACTTTTTAATCTGCGTCTATCGAATCGGAATCGAACTGAGAGAGAGAGAGAGAGAGAGAGAGAGAGAGAGAGAGAGATAGAGATAGAGAGAATTTTTGGAAGGACGGGCGTGAAGGTCGAGCGAAGAATCGTATAAAACCCGCAACTCAGACAGAAAGCCATCATTCGATCGTGACAGACGTCAAAGATCGACGACATTAATCGCCATGGCTCGTGCAGTGGTTCTACTCCTTCTCGTCGTAGCTATTGCTTACAGCACGTGTAAGTAGACGGAAGCTTTGTTTACGTGTTTCGCTTCTTTTTTTTGACATGTGTCATCTGTCAGTGTTTCGAATTAACATTGAATTAAAGTGAATCTACATTCGAGTTAGATCGGAATGAAATTCAGATTTACCTTTAATTTACGAATACAATAAATGTATAATCAAATGGATTAAAAAATGAACATTTAGTAATTTGTTAAATAGATGTTGTTCAAGTAATTTATTAAACATCGTTAAACAAACATAACATAAATGATATTCTATTTCGCTTTTGATCGAAAATCTGAAGAATAAAAATTACAGAAGAAAGAAATTTGTACTTTATTTCTCTTTATTCGCTTGAGTTTTCATTTGAGTTGTTATTATTTGTTGAGTTCGATCAGCTAATTTAACTTAACGATTCATTGCAGTTGCACACCCGGAGGCCAGCCACAAGTGTGGTCCCAACGAAGAGTTCAAATCTTGCGGATCTCCGTGTGTAGATACCTGTGAGAAACCAGCATCACCTATCTGTACTCTGGTTAGCAACTCCCGCGATACACACAAATCCGAGTGAAAAACTTTCGTATCTGACGTTTGTGCGAATTATTCTGTTACAGAGATGCGAGGTCGGTTGCCAGTGTAAATCAGGCTACGTGAGAAACAGACAGAACCAGTGTGTCCTTACCCGTGATTGTTAAAATTACACACTGACATTGACGATGCACTATATTTGGTGAAAAAGGAAATCATCATTCACCTGCATGATCTGTTGTACATCCGCTTACTTACATTCAGTGATACCTACTGAGTAATTTGTAACAGTTTTTATACTCATATTTGTGTCAAGTCTCATCATGTTTCTAATAAAATACACGGAAAATTATTTATTATTCTTCTCCTTTCTTCGATCTCTTACTTGTCTCTCCTCTTAAAACAAATACTGTTCCAAAGATGAATTTTTATACTTGAGAATAATTCGGAGAATGGACGAATAGAATTGTCAAGAAGGTACGAGATATTAAAATAGGAAATTGCAAGTAATATTGAAAAAAAATTTCAACCTCCTGTTTGAGATGACAGTTGAGCATAAGAAACATTTCTTACTTGTTATCATTGTAGAAGTTTTTATAAGTACGCTATAACCCATCAATATGACTGATTTCAGACTTTTGTTATTTTCTTTTTCTTTACAAGTGCTCGTCAAAATTAATTTCTGCTTGGACAGGAACACAATTCTCATCAACTTATCATTAAATTATCATTTAAATTATAATGATTTATATATAAAATATTTCGATACGGTTGTTCTAGTGTTAATAGATATTTCTATTTATTTATTTACATTAATATTTTCGTTAACCAATTAAAGTCAATTATATAATTCAGTATTTATTTGAGATCTCCGAGTATAAATCGTGTCTAAAAGAAATTGTATCTCGACATTGCAGCTAGCTTCTTCAGGGATCTGAGGATGCACTAAAGAAACTAACTTACATAAAGAAATCTCAAATAATAATATTATTAAAGGTCTCAGCCACGAAAGCCTTATCTCTTGTTCTTTCAACACAAATAGAACTTTGTGAGAAGGGAGGAAATTTTATTTAGCTATTGACGGCAACTGTGTCGAAAATTAAATCGTATAAATCATAAAACATATTTAAAATGAAATATTTAGATACATAATTTAACTAAAATTAAAATTACTATCTAAAGATATAACTAACTAGAATTAAATATTTACGTAATTCAAACATTTCTAAATTTAAATCCAAAAATTAATTTACATATGTTTATAATAACACTTCTGTATTTTAGGAATATTTTGATATCCAATCGTTATATTAATGAAATGTTTGCAGATGATGATTTTCCAGATAATCTCGTATTTTGGATAAATAAGGTTCTGCTGTGTTTTTAAACTTAACAATGTTAAAGAAATTGAGAACACGTGGCAATGTTTGTTAAACAAAAAAAAAAAAAAAAA